TGAAATGAAAAATAAACAACCTAAATTTTAAAAAAATGATCCTTGATATGAATCAGCTTATCATTAAAATTATTTTAATTTAAAATAGTTTCATTAACTCTTTTGTAGTTAGTTATGTGATAAAGATCTTTATGTGTAAATATGCCTTTGTATTTCTGGTTGTTTCTCAGGGCTAATTTTTTGAGGCTGAAGAAAGATCAAAGGAATTTTATATTCCAACAATCCTTGATGCATATTGTCCTCCTTTCAGAAAGATAAAACCAGTTTTCTAAGTTTTACATACTTGTTAATTTGGCTAATGTAGCATATCATCTTTATTTCCTTGATTCTTCCTGAGATTGTCATACAATTTGTCTTTTGAACCTAAACACAGGCATTTTAATTATGTCTCTGTATGTCTTTGTTTATTTTTTCCATTATTCATGTCTATCAAAATGCTTACAGATTAAAATGAGTAAACAGTGTGAGGTAGCCACAGTTCAATGAATATCTCTTTAGACTGCATGAATAGGAGCTCAGTATAAAGAAAAGAGGAAGAGATGCCCTACTCCACTTGTTTCTGGACAGAGAATGCATCTGTAGCTCTTCAACTATTCAGTTATGGATATTGTATGTAAGAAAAATAGCCAGAAGCAAGCTAATCAACAACTAGTTAAGGCGGTGATACTGAGGAAGATTGAAGAGGCAGGAAATATTTAATGCTGAGAAGATAAGTGAAAGAGGACGGACATTCATTTGTATTTTAAAATGACAGACCTCTCTCTGCTGCCCCTATAGTTGCTCTATAAATTTAAAATTGTTCTAAAATGTAAATTTAAAATTTGAAATTTTTTTAAATGACATTTTTTTTGTCTAAGGTAGATTCCTCTTAATTTAAATGGCTTCAGAAGACATAAAAAAGAAAAACAGGTGTAATATAAAAGGTAAAGTTTAACTTTTTATGAGAAAAAAAAGACATCTAGTAGCATACACTGAATCACTGCTCAGAAGACTGCCTCTCATCTTTGTAGATATTCCAGTCTGGGCTTAAATCCAGAGAGCTGGTAGGGGGCATAAATGATGATTTCTGAGATATTTTCCAAGGTCAAGATGTTGGGAGTTTGTTCACTGGTACCTTTGGTTATAAACAGAATACTAAGCAAGCTTGGTAGAGTTCAGGCTGCCAAAAATGGAGCTCTCTGCGGCAGCAGGGGGTGGAGTGGGCAAGGCTGGGTGAATGGGCTGACACCCACCTCTTTCCACAGCACAGGTTCCTACTGAAGCTGAAGGTCCTGTACACCGTGGGCTACAGCTCCTCCCTCGTGACACTCCTGGTTGCCCTCAGCATCCTCTGTGCTTTCCGGTGAGAACAACTGCCTGTTCTCCATCCCCAGATGCCCTGCACAAGTTCAAGTCTCTCCTTAATTTAGCACAGAAAGGATGATCTGAGTGGGCACAGTATCCCCTCTTGTGAGGGTCACTGGCAGCAAGAGTCAAGTTCCTATGGCCTTGTTCATTTGTTCCTTCCTTTACTTGTGGCCACAAACTTGGATCTTAAATATGAACAAAGTTTGGTCCTTAATTCTAGTCTGGTGGAGTTCTCAGGGTAGAAGGAAAGTCTTACCTGTGCTTGCTGAGAACTGATTGTGCCCCGTGGCTTTGCAGGAATCATTTCTGATTATTATTGTTGTTGTTGTTGTTATTATTATTATTATTATTGTTATTAATAAATTAATAAATAAATTCTTGAAAGGAACTGGGAATCCCAGAACACTTCATTACTTACGCTCGTGTGAAACCTACACATAGACTAATGCAGTTTTCTGAACAGAACAAGGGAACACTGCATGTTTTAAAATCAGGGAAGGTGTGCTTCAGGGATCCGCACAACCAAATGTGCCTTTGCATAGTCAGTAGAACATAAAACACAAAGAAGCATCTTTCTTGTATTCTCTGATTTTACCAAGATCAATCTGATACCAGTAATAATAATAATAATCAGAAATAATAATAAATTAATAAATAATAAGTGGCATCCACTTCCTAAATAACATGCCTTCGGAAACTCTATGAATTTTGACAAATGTCGACAGTTGTAGAGGGGCTTCAAGCCTTTTGTTCATAGTGTCACTATGAGTCATGCTCGACTCGAAGACAATCAACAGCAACAATATCATGATGTTGCATATTTTTCTTGTAGTGAGATTTTTGTTTTCTAAACGTTAAGATGTAATTGAAGGCCATTTTTGGCCTTTTGCAGTAGTGATTTATGTCTTCTTCACTTTCTGCAAGGAAGGCTGTGTCATCTGTATAACATTAATGAGTTGTCAATGAATCTTTCTCCAATCCTGATGCCACATTCTTCATATAGTCCAGTTTCTCACATTATTTGCTTAAGATGCAGATTGAATGATTATGGGGAAAGGATACAACCCTGAAGCACACCTTCCCTGATTTTAAAACATGCAGTGTTCCCTTATTCTGTTTAGAAAACGTCATTAGTCTATGTGTAGGTTTCACACGAGCGTAATGAAGTGTTCTGGGATTCCCAGTTCCTCTCAATGTTAACCATAATTTCCTATAAGCCACACAACCAAATGTGCCTTTGCATAGTCAGTAAAACATAAAACACAAATAAGCATCTTTCTTGTATTCTCTGATTTTACCAAGATCAATCTGATATCAGTAATAATATCCCTCATGCTCATCCTTCATAGATGATACTTCTGCATCCAGCTTGAATTTCTGTCAGTTCTTGTCTGTATGCTATTCCAGTTGGTTTTGAATAATCTTCAAGACTATTTTATTTGCATGTGATACTAAAGATAGTTTGATGATTTCCACACTCTGTTGCATCTCTCTTTTTTTTTCTAGAATGAGAATAAACACGGAACAGATATGGAGATAGATGGGTGGGGGTTGTATAGAAAATAAAACACTTGCCATTTCTTTTTTTTTTAGCAGTAAGCTGATCAGTTTATTTTAAAACATGAATATTGAAATAATAACATCCATGAGATAAATTGGGAAATGGTTGAGGGGAAGACCCATTGAGAATCATATCCTTAATTGAAACAATATGATTTAATAAACTATTTGCTCATCATGATCAAGTCAGAACCAACTCATACCTAACCTTCAAATGAGTTTTTCGAGACTGTTAATTGAATGGGAGATTGCCCATCTTTCTCTTGCAGAGCAGCTGCTGGTGGATTTGAACTGCCTTGAAATCCTTAAAATCTAGCCTCTTATGCCAAACATTTCAGTTCAGTGGTTCCTCTTTTTAAGAGATTGAATTTTACAGTACAGTTTCAAGTTGAGTTTAATGTACAATCTTCCTTGATAATAATTTTACTGTTTATAATTTTCTTTTTTTCCCTATAATTATATTTTATTAATTTTCATAAACATTTACAGAGATTTTGGGTTTCCATTCATTCATTGTTGCATTATTCTCTCTACCCTCCTCCCAGTTTGTTCTTGTCCAAATGCCACAGTGCTTGTCAAAGCCAGTTCTGATTAATTTTCTTTGTCAGTGTGTCCTTTGCCAATCCCTATCACTCCTCTCTGAGAGAGACTTCACCCTGAGTCATAAGGAAAAGGGGACAGCGTATTCTCTTAGCTACTTCCTGCTGAAAAGGGACGCTGTGGGTTTCAGGGTGAAGATCTTCTCTCACTACTCTAAAGGGCCCCTTTGGCAGTAGGAAACACATAGACTATTATGGAGATTGATTTTGGAATTTAAATGCACTCTTATTGATTGTGCTTGGCCGTACATGTTCATATCCTTGAAGATGTATCATGGGGGTGTTGCAACCTAGAAGACACAAATTTGACTAACAAGTTATAAGTACATGTCAAAAATTATGGAAAAGTAAAAGAAAAGATTCTTTCATTGTTTTACAAACCCTCCCCCAGGTCCCCTCCACCATGTGGCCCTCGCTCTAGACTCCTGTGATGACAGAAATACCTAGTTATATTTAAAACAGTTTTAAACAGTTTTAAACTTTTAAACAGTTTTCTCCCTCCTCTGTTTAACTGCAGTATACATTATTGAACCCATCTTACTCAGTCTCTCCCCAACCCCAAGGACAGTCCCATTTCAACATTTATTGAATTTATAATAAATTCAGTGATGTTAATTATGTTCATCATGCTGTGCAGCCATCACAACTATGTTTAATATTCCTAGATTTATTTTCTTTTTCATGTTGGCATTGGAGTGGGACCTGGGCCTCGAGGCTCTGGGTTCTCATTCCTTCTGTTCACAGGTTGATGCTTGGCCTGGAGAGAGCTGTTTTTTGTCACATAGGGCACATGTATGGGGGCCAGACAAGCCCCTCCCAGCTCTGAGCCCTGCTGCTCTGCATTTTTTTCCCTCCAGGAGGCTCCACTGCACTCGCAATTACATCCACATGCACCTGTTCCTGTCCTTCATCCTGCGTGCCCTCTCCAACTTCATCAAGGATGCTGTGCTCTTCTCAGATGATGCCACCCACTGCGACGCCCACAGGGTAACATGTCTGCCCTGCCTTAAGCTGGAGAGGTTGTGGCTTAATTCCCGTGTCCCATACCCCTGCTCAAGCTGTACTCAGTGCTTAGGGTAAAGGGGCCAGTGACCGGACTGGGAACTGGGGCATGAGGACATTCCCCTGGACCCCATCTAGGTAGTGAACCATTTATTGGGAAGTCTGTGGGACCTGTATCTCCTTTCCATTTCCAAGAGTGAATTAAACACTCCAGCCAGCTTCTGACCGTGTCTGAGTAAGGTTGGGCTTGATTTCAGAAAGAAAATGATCATGTGCTGATATGCCTGCAGGAAAATAATGATACATTGCTAAATCTAACACTCTCCTTCCAAATGTTCTCCTTATTCTAAATTTGTTTTCATTCATATGCCAGTAGGGAAACCCTTTTGCTGTAAAAAACAAAACTTTGTATCAGTGACTTAAACATGTGTTACTCTTTCCCAAATAAGTATTTTGTTGTTGCTGTTAGGTACCTTTGAATTTAGCAATAGATTTGAACTTTGTCCTATCCTGCTTTGTCAACATGATCTCCATCAAGCTCAATGTAACAGATACTGTGTCAATCTATCTTGGTGGAAGTCTTCCTCTCTTTCTCTGACCCTCCATCTTTCCCAGCATGATGTCTTTTCCCAAGGACTGGGCCCTCCTGACAACATGTTCAAAGTATGTGAGACAAAATTTCAGCATCCTTGCCTCTAAGGAGCACCCTGGTTGTACTTTCTCTAAGACAGATTTGGAGTATAGAATAATACTCTAGAAATGGATAAGCCAGAGGTGGAACAGTGGTTCTATGAAGCCACATAGGGCTTTCAAAAGTCTGTTCTTTCAGAAGTGAATAACAAATCTTTCTTCCTAATCTGTCTTAACTTGGATGCTCAGCTTTAGAATAGTGTATGACAGACAAGCGTTTTACAGAAGGAGTATATGAAAGACATTGAAATATAGGGACCATCAGGAGAACAAATAGGTCTGTCTTGGAGAGGGTGAAATCATGTTTCTCCTTGGAGGCAAGCATTCTTATGCTCTGTCTCACATACTTTGGGCACATGGCCAGGAGAGACCACTCCTTGGAAAAGGACATCATGCTTGGAAGGGTGGAGGGACAGTGCAGTAAAGGGAGACCCCAGATGAGATTGATTGATATGGTAACTGGGTCAATAGGATTAGGTATGTTAGAGTCAGTGAGACTGGCTCAGTACAGGGAAGGCTTCACAGGTCACTGTGAGTCGTAGGCAACTTGATGGCACATAACTAAAACAACATGATGCCACAAAAGACAATATTTTTCTGTTACACCATCTTTAGTGTAGGCCTTTGACCTCATATTTTATACCACATTGCTGCAAAGTGGGTGTTGCAACTGCCATCTGTATTTATGTTCCAGGCAAGAAGAAGGATAAAAACCAAAACCTAAAGATTGTTTGTTTGGTTTGGTGTTTTTTTTCTTTTGGGGAGGTTTTTCCATTTTATTTGGGAAGGGACATTCTCTCCAAGTATTTCTACCTACATTTCATTGGCTAGAACTCGACCACACTTAATCTGCAAAGAAAATGGGAGAATCAAGTTTTCTTTTAACTATTCTAATCTCCAGCATAGATACAAACAAGGAAGAAAAAGTAGATTGAGGTCGATTCAGCCAAACTAGAGTACCTACGCTGCTGAGTAGGCAGCAGGAGGATGGCCAAGGCCAGCAGAATGGCCAACCCTGACTTCTACCAGGGCATTGAAGAATGGAACTATCCACAAAGGAGTTTCAAATCCTGGGCTGGGTCAGTACTTGGTCTGGAGATAGCTTGATTGTTTGCTCCTCATCTCTCTGTCTCTCTCCCTTATTTTATTTTTCAGGTTCTCCAGCCATCTTTGTTACTTTATGGGCTATCACTAGGCACTTTCTGGAAGATGATGGGTAAGCTGTAGGAAAAGATATCTGTTTGGTTTTTTGTTTTGTTTTGTTTCATTTTTTGGGTTTTTTTTATGTGATCTAGTTAGTTCTCCCAGCAGTATAGATCCTTTTCTGAGGATATCTCACTTTGGTGTCATGAAAGAGTTCTCCAGTGTGTCAGGCTGCAGAACACTTAGTAAACCTGAGACGTTAGCACAGTGGGATTATCCAGATGTGCTGAGTGCCTTCAAGTCTGTACCCTACTAATTCTCCTCTTATCCCCTTGCCCTCCCTACCTGATCTGGAGGGAGGCCATGTGCCAAATAAGGTCTGGATACATCAGGCACATATCTCCCTGGTAGGGGCCAGTCCAGCTTTCCCTCAACCTGGACCCCTTCACAGCCTCTCCCTGCCCTGGTGCCTCAGTCATATGAAGTAGGTGGTGTGCAGAGCACTATCCATGCACCAGATATGGCAAAGACAGGACAAGCCAGCTTTAGCTTTGTTCTCTGCAGGGCCTGTGAGGCATTCTGGTAGGAGGAAAGCCCAGGAAGGCTCACCTTGGAATAGACACAGGAACAGAAAGCTTGAAAGGCACAAGGGAAAAACTAAGACTTGAAAGAGTGGGTGCAGCCTTTCAACTGGACAACAGAATATTAATGTGATTTTGTAAAGTAGGTAAGGTGGATAATGACACAACCATATCAGATGAGACATACAAGTAGAGTAGTTTACTGTCCATATTCACACCACCAAATTTCTGTGTTACAAAATTATTTTTCAATTGAATGATTTCACTTTCCCTCCCCCCTTTTAATCTGGATTTTCAGCTTTTCTAGGGGGAAAAAAGAGAAGTTCTAAGCATTTATCAATTCTACTTGGGACAAAAAAATAAAGTGAGACAGAGTTGAAGCTTCCTTGGACCAAGCCCAAGAGACTTGGTTTGCCAAATATCTTTATTTTCCCTCCCTGATGTCCTCAGGTGCTGAGATCCCTTGAAGAAGGGAGCATTGCATGGACACAGGACAGAAAAGTTATTTCCAGTCAGTCATCCATCAAGTCACTCACTGACACCCTGTGTGGCCTTTGCTGACTGCTGAGTTTACCATGAAGCTCCACAGAGAATTTTGACTGAACTAGCTTTGAGGTTCAGGCATCCCCTAGCTCTCAGATTGTATGTCTGCTGTCTCAGAGACTCACTGGGCTCTGCCCCAGGTGCACTGCCCCAGGTGCCCCAGAAGGACACCAGACAAAAAGAGAAGGGAGGGATATGATGGTGCTAAGTACACACAGGACTCGGGTCACTGATGTGACAGGCCAGCTCTGACAATGCCTGGCTCTCCCTTCATAGGTGCTGGGACATCAATGTCAATGCATCTGTCTGGTGGGTCATCCGAGGACCTGTGATCCTCTCCATCCTGGTAAGTGCCAGCCTTCCTTGGAGACTCCACAGGGAGAGACCAAGTATTGTCTTGGCCCCTGGGCTAGAAGATGAGGCTAGCATTTCTTTTTGGGTGTGGGGATAAACAAAACTCATAGTTTCCACATGTTGGTGGGAGTTCTAGGTTCTTCACACCATGAGAGAAGAGTTGGCAGAAAGAGGTACTCTGTCTTTGTATGAGGGGTGGCTGGGAGGAGCTCTTACAAAACCCACTCTTTCTATGACCAGCAGCTGAATGTGGTGATCAGAGAGAGTATCTTATCTCATGTGGGCCTGAGATACACCTTCACTGCTTAAGAACCATTCACTGCTTAAGAACACCTTCACTGCTTAAGAACCAAGTAATCAAGACCATTGGGTCTTGATTACTTTCAATTTGTTCTCCTTCTAAACTGGGATCAGAAGAAAAGGAAGTTTGAGTGTGAACGTGGGAAGAGGTATGTGAGTGACCCTTATGAGTGGGAGTTCAGTGGGAGTAAATATAGATCTCTTCCAGTCAGTTACCCATGTAATTGGTTTCCAAATTTCTTAGTACAGACTAGTGAGCACATCTAGGGGTTCATCTGTTGAAACATATCAATTGATAGTTCATAGTTCATCATTCTTGGATCCTTCCCCCTGCCTATGTCTTCAGTGCAGTTTGAACTTCTTTAATTCTTGATCATATGCTATTTCCTGAAGCAGTTCAGAATCAACCAGTTCTTTATGGTACAGTGACTCTGTCTATTCCTTACATCTTCTTTGGTGCTTCCTGCATCATTCAAAGTTTTCCCCATAGCATCTCTCAGCATTGCAATTCAAGGCTTAAATTTGTTTTTTAGTTATTTCAGCTTGAGAAATGCTGAGCAAGTTCTTCCTTTTTTTATTCTCCATATTCTCATTTTCCTTATTCAATGTTACAATATTGTCTCTTCCTTCAATTAGTGTTTCAAAGACTACTGCATATTTTCTTTATACACTATGTTTTAAAGAATTATCATTCCCTAGTACAATCAATGCCCAGTCCCTGCCCTAGAACAGTGAGAGGTAATAACATCCAGATATCAGTATTTTTAGAACTTCCAGGTGAAATGGCAACATATGTGTTGAGGTGATAGCCTTTCTCCAAAATTATTCAATCTGTTTGCTGAGGAAATCATTCAAGAAGCTGGACTATATGAAGAAGAATGTAACATCAGGATTGGAGGAAAGCTCATCAACAACTTCCCTATGTAGATGACACAATCTTGCTTGCAGAAAGTGATGAGGACTTGATGAAGCATTTGCTGCAGAAGAACGCCTGTCCACTGCTTATCTGATTTGGCTTCTTTGTGCACTGTTTTCAAGCTTCCCTTCCGCCCAGGAACACGCTTGTCAGCGTTACCAAGGGCTTCTTCCCACTGGAAATCCCCGGTACATTTGAGAAAAGCCTGTCCGCTGCTTATCTGAGGTGGCTTCCTTGCGCACCTATTTCAAGCTTTCCTTCCCCCCTTGAGCACGCTTGTCAGATTTCCCAAGGGCTTCTTCCCACCGGAAATCCTGGGTACCTTTGAAAAACGGCTGTCCGCTGCTTATCTGAGGTGTCTTCCTTGTGCACAGTTTTCAAGCTTCCCTTCCGCCCTGGAGCACGCTTGTCAGATTTCCAAAGGGTTTCTTTCCACCGGAAATCCCGGGGACTTTTGAGATACGCCTGTTTGCTACTTTCCTGAGGTGGCTTCCTTGTGCACCGTTTTCAAGCTTCCCTTCCGCCCAGGAGCACCCTTGTCAGAGTTCCCAAGGGCTTCTTCCCACGGGAAATCCTGGGTACCTTTGAGAAATGCCTGTCCTTTGCTTTTCTGAGGTGTCTTCCTTGTGCAACGTTTTCAAGCTTCCCTTCCGCCCTGCGGCACGCTTGTCAGAGTTCCCAAGGGCTCCTTCCCACTGGATATCCCGGGTACCTTTGAGAAACGCCTGTCCGCTGCTTATCTGAGGTGGCTTCCTTGTCCACCGTTTTCAAGCTTCCCTTCCGCCCCAGAGCACGCTTGTCAGAGTTCCCAAGGGCTTCTTCCCACCGGAAATCCTGGGTACCTTTTAGAAACGCCTGTCCGCTGCTTATCTGATGTGGCTTCCTTGTGTACCGTTTTCAAGCTTCACTTTGGCCCCGGAGGTTGCTTGTCAGAGTTCCCAAGGGTTTCTTCCCAACGGAAATCCCAGGTACCTTTGAGAAACGCTTGTCTGCTGCTTATCTCAGGTGGCTTCCTTGTGCACCGTTTTCAAGCTTCCCTGCCACCCAGAAGCACGCTTCTCAGAGTTGCCAAGGGCTTACTCACACCGGAAATCCTGGGTATCTTTGAGAAACGCCTGTCCACTGCTTATCTGAGGTGGCTTCCTTTTGCACCGTTTTCAAGCTTCACTTCTGCCCTGGAGCACGCTTGTCAGAGTTCCCAAGGGCGTCTTCCCACCGGAAATCCCGGACACCTTTGAGAAACGCCTGTCCACTGCTTATCTGAGGTGGCTTCCTTGTGCACCCTTTTCAAGCTTCACTTCTGCCCTGGATCACGCTTGTTAGAGTTCCCAACGGCTTCTTCCCACCGGAAATCCGGGGTACCTTTGAGAAACGCCTGTCCGCTGCTTATCTGAGGTGGCTTCCTTTTGCACCGTTTTCAAGCTTCCCTTTCACCCCGGCGCAAGCTTGTCAGATTTCCAAAGAGCTTCTTTCCACTGGAAATCCCGGGGACCTTTGAGATACGCCTGTCTGCTGCTTATCTGAGGTGGCTTCCTTGTGAACCATTTTCAAGCTTCCCTTCCGCCCAGGAACACGCTTGTCAGCGTTCCCAAGGGCTTCTTCCCACCGGAAATCCCAGGTACCTTTGAAAAACGGCTGTCCGCTGCTTATCTGAGGTGGCTTACTTGTGCACCGTTTTCAAGCTTCCCTTCCGCCCCGGAGCATGCTTGTCAGAGTTACCAAGGGCTTCTTCCCACCGGAAATCCCGGGTAACTGACCAAAGCCTGTCCGCTGCTTATCTGAGGTGGCTTCCTTCTGCACCGTTTTCAAGCTTCCCTTTTGTTCTGGAGCATGGTTGTCAGAGTCCCCAAGGTCTTCTTCCCACCGGAAATCCCGGGTACCTTTGAGAAATGCCCGTCTGCTCCTTATCTGAGGTGGCTTAATTGTGCACCGTTTTCAAACTTCCCTTCCGCCCAGGATCACGCTTTTCAGAGTTGCCAAGGGCTTCTTCCCACGGGAAATCCCGGGTACTTTGAGAAATGCCTGTACTTTGCTTTTCTGAGGTGTCTTCATTGAGCACCATTTCAGAGCTTCCCTTCTGCCCAGGAGCACGCTTGTCAGCGTTCCAAGGGCTTCTTCCCACCGGAAATCCAGGGTACCTTTGAGAAATGCCTGTCCCCTCCTTATCTGAGGTGGCTTCCTTGTGCACCGTTTTCAAGCTTCCCTTCCGCCCCGGCGCACGCTTGTCAGAGTTCCAAAGGGCTTCTTCCCACCGGAAATCCCGGGTACTTTTGAAAAATGCCTGTCCCCTGCTTATCTGAGGTGGCTTCCTTGTGCACCGTTTTCAAGCTTCCCTTCCGCCCAGGACCACGCATGTCAGAGTTCGCAAGCGCTTCTTCCCACCGGAAATCCCAGGTACCTTTGAAAAATGCATGTGCACTGTTTATCTGAGGTGGGTGCCTTGTGCACCATTTTCAAGCTTCCTTTCCACCCAGGACCACGCTTGTCAGACTTCCCAAGTGTTTCTTCCCACTGGAAATCCTGGGTACCTTTGAGAAACGCCTGTCCGCTGCTTATTTGAGGTGGCTTCCTTTTGCACCGTTTTCAAGCTTCCCTTCCACCCCGGCGCAAGCTTGTCAGAGTTCCAAAGGGCTTCTTCCCACGGGAAATCCCGCGTACCTTTGAGAAATGCCTGTCCCCTGCTTATCTGAGGTGGCTTCCTTGTGCACCGTTTTTAAGCTTCCCTTCCGCCCAGAAGCACGCTTCTCAGAGTTGCCAAGGGCTTACTCACACCGGAAATCCTGGGTACCTTTGAGAAACGCCTGTCCACTGCTTATCTGAGGTGGCTTCCTTGTGCACCGTTTTTAAGCTTCCCTTCCGCCCAGGACCGCACTTGTCAGAGTTCGCAAGCGCTTCTTCCCACCGGAAATCCCAGGTACCTTTGAGAAACGCCTGTCGGCTGCTTATCTCAGGTGGCTTCCTTGTCCACTGTTTTCAAGCTTCCCTTCCACCCAGAAGCACGCTTGTCAGAGTTCCCAAGGGCTGATTCCCACTGGATGTCCCGTGTACATTTGAGAAACGCCTGTCTGCTGTTTATCTCAGGTGGCTTCCTTGTCCACCGTTTTCAAGCTTCCCTTCCGCCCAGGACCACGGTTGTCAGAGATCACAAGGGCTTCTTCCCCCCGGAAATCCCGGGTACCTTTGAAAAATGCATGTGCACTGTTTATCTGAGGTGGGTGCCTTGTGCACCATTCTCAAGCTTCCTTTCTGCCCAGGACCACGCTTGTCAGACTTCCCAAGGGTTTCTTCCCACCGGAAATCCCGGGTACATTTGACAAACGCCTGTCCGCTGCTTTTCTGAGGTGGCTTCCTTGTGCACAGTTTTCAAGCTTCCCTTCTGCCAAGGACCACGCTTGTCAGAGATCCCAAGGGCTTATTCCCCCTGGAAATCCCGGGTACCATTGAAAAATGCATGTGCGCTGTTTATCTGAAGTTGGTGCCTTGTGCACCGTTTTCAAGCTTCACTTCTGCCCTGGATCACGCTTGTCAGAGTTCCCAAGGGCTTCTTCCCACCGGAAATCCTGGGTACCTTTGAGAAACGCCTGTCCGCTGCTTATTTGAGGTGGCTTCCTTTTGCACCGTTTTCAAGATTCCCTTCCGCCCCCGCGCACCCTTGTCAGAGTTCCAAAGGGCTTCTTCCCACCGGAAATCCCGGGTACGATTGAGAAATGTCTGTCCCCTGCTTATCTGAGGTGGCTTCCTTGTGCACCCTTTTCAAGGTTCCCTTCCGCCCCAGTGTACGCTTCTCAGAGTTCCCAAACTCTTCTTTCCACTGGAAATCCCGGACACCTTTGAGAAACGCCTCTCCACTGCTCATCCGAAGTGGCTCCCTTGTGCACCGTTTTCAAGATTCCCTTCCGCCCCGGAGCATGCTGGTCAGAGTTCCCAAGGGCTTCTTCCCACCGGAAAACCCGGGTACCTTTGAGAAACGCCTGTCTGCTTCTTATCTGAGGTGACTTCCTTGTGCACCGTTTTCAATCTTCACTTCTGCCGCTGAGCACGCTTGTCAGAGTTCCCAAGGGCTTCTTCCCACCGGAAATCCAGGGTAACTTTGACAAACGCCTGTCCGCTGCTTATCTGACGTGGCTTCCTTGTGCGCCGTTTTCAAGCTTCCCTTCCGCCCTGGAGCACGCTTGTCAGAGTTCACAAGGCCTTCTTTCCACCGGAAATCCTGGGGACCTTTGAGATACGGCTGTCCGCTCCTGATCTGAGGTGGCTTCCTTGTGCACAGTTTTCAAGCTTCCCTTCCGCCCAGGAGCACGCTTGTCAGAGTTCCCAAGGGCTTCTTTCCACCGGAAATCCCGGACACCTTTGAGAAACGCCTGTCCGCTGCTCATCTGAGGTGGCTTCCTTGTTGCACCCTTTTCAAGCTTCCCTTCCGCCTCAGAGCACGCTTGTCAGATTTCCAAAGGGCTTCTTTCCACCGGAAATCCCGGGGAACTTTGAGATAAGCCTGTCCGCTACTTTTCTGAGGTGACTTCCTTGTGCACCGTTTCAATCTTCCCTTCCGCAAAGGAGCACGCACGTCAGAGTTCCCAAGGGCTTCTTCCCACGGGAAATCCCAGGTACCATTGAGAAATGCCTGTCCTTTGCTTTTCTGAGGTGTCTTCCTTGTGCACCGTTTTCAAGCTTCCCTTCCACCCTGGGGCACGCTTGTCAGAGTTCCCAAGGGCTCCTTCACACTGGATATCCCGGGTACCTTTGAGAACGCCTGTCCGCTCCTTATCTGAGGTGGCTTCCTTGTGCACCGTTTTCAAGCTTCCCTTCCACACTGGTGTACGCTTGTAAGAGATCCCAAGGGCTTCTTCCCAATAGATATCCCTGGTACCTTTGAGAAAC